GATGAAAAAACACCCTCCTTGTGTTCAACTGAAGCCAAGCAATGCAAAACATGTCAGATGAACTTCAGTGCATGTGTTGTATTGACCCTTCTGAAATATTTAATCTCTGTCATTTGCAGACTTGGATTCCCACCCTGTTGGTGCTACAGGAATTCGGAAATACCCTCTCCTATTCAACATTTCCATCCCTCACCATGAAGAAATCACCATGGCAGAGCTGAGGCTCTACACCCTGGTGGAGAGGGACCAAAGGCTCTACGATGGGCTTGACCGGAAAGTCACCATCGTTGAAGTGCTGGAAAATGACCAGATGGGGGTAGGAGAAGAGAGAAAGACAGTGGCTCTGGCATCCAGGCACATCTATGGCACGAGCAGCGAGTGGGAGAGCTTCGAGCTGACCGACGCGATCCGGCGCTGGCGCAGGGCAGGGCTGACCACGCACCGGCTGGAGGTTCACATAGAGAGCAGGGAAGGGGAGGAGCAGAGCGGAGAGCCCAAACTCGACATCGACATCAATTCCGAGGCCAAGCACGAGCCCCTGTTGATTGTGTACTCTGATGACCAAAGCAATGACAAAAAAGAGAAGGAAGAGCTGAACGAAATGATAGACCACGAGCAGCTCCTGGACTTGGAGAACTTAGAGATTGGCAATTTCCACGACCAGCCTGGGGAAGAGGCTCTGCTCCAGATGCGCTCCAACATCATTTACGACTCCACTGCCCGGATCAGGAGGAATGCCAAGGGCAACTACTGTAAAAAGACTCCACTCTACATAGATTTCAAGGAGATTGGCTGGGACTCCTGGATCATCGCCCCGGCAGGATACGAAGCTTACGAGTGCCACGGAGTGTGTGCCTACCCCTTAACAGAGCACGTCACACCCACAAAGCATGCCATTGTCAAGACTTTGGTTCACCTGAAGAACCCCCAGAAAGCCTCCAAGGCCTGCTGTGTGCCCACCAAACTCGACCCCATCTCTATTCTCTACTTAGATGCAGGGGTGGTCACCTACAAGTTCAAATACGAAGGCATGGTGGTGTCAGAGTGTGGCTGCAGATAGTAGCAGGAACACACACACGGGGGTGTGCACAGGGGGAGTATTTAATGATCCAGTCTGTAAATTTGTACATTTGGGATTTGCTATTTAATGAGGTTATTTAATGAGGCATGTACAGATAATTGTATGTTTCCTGTAATGGGGAATGGGCAAGTCGTGCGACCGTAGGGATTGTATATTTTGGTCCAGTGCTTCCTTCTCGCTGCTCTTCGCTGTCCAAATTTTGATCGAGTCTCTCCTCCCATCAGGGCATGGAGCAGATCCCTGGATTGTTTGGGAGGGCTCTTTGTGCCAAAGGGGCACCTTCAGATTCACAGAAATAAAGGCATATTTTTGTATGTGCTCAATGTTGATTGGCATCTAAAGGGATTTCCAGAGCTCTATGAGATAGGTCAGCTCTGGGCAATCACACCTAGATTACTCAGCTTCCTGCAAAATCTTTATGAAGAGCTTTATCTTCTCAATTCTTTAAAATTTGTATCTGTAGATCTTAAGTCCTGATAATCCTCAAGCTCCTAAAACATTCAGGCACAACAAGGCGTTAGATTTTCTCCCTTCTTGTTTTCTTGATCCTTCCCTTACTCCTTCCCTCTTTTCATTAGAGGTAACTGACAGGGATAATTTGCATCCAGAGTGAAATGGGAACCATTTCCTTTCCCATCTTTTCTAGGCAAGCAAAGGGCCCAGGAGCAGTGCCAGGCATGGGCAGTGGTCTGACCATGGCAAGAAATTCCCCTGTGCATGCTGCCTGCAGAATCTGTGTCCAGCAGCACTGGCCTTGCTGCGGAGCCGTGGCTTGGCCCTCCAGGGCCAGAGCTTTAGGAGCAGAAAGAAGTGCAGTAAATTCCCTAAATCCTTGAAACTGTACCAGCCAGAATTGTCCTGAAAGTCATACCAGGTAAGAACCATTTCCCCTGCCCAGCCCAGCAAATTACACCTGATACAGCTACATAATCCAACTCAAATGGCCACGTAGTGTTGCATCGAGCTAGGCTGACCAGCAAACCCCTCTGGGCCAGTGGAGGGATCTTCCCTTCGTGTACATGCTGAGGTTGTCAATCCATTGCTCCCCCAACTGTATGTGAGGGAGTCACATGCCATGTTTCCACCACTCTTCTGCAGCAAATCCTGGTGATAAGAAGGTGTCGGAGCTGAGAAACAATAGACCCGTCACTTTATTTATACTAAGCTGCAAATTTGTCAGATTCTTGGGAAAGTGTAAGTGATGTTGACTCTTTTAGCCTGTACCAGAGCTTACTGCACTGTCCCTGCATCTGTGTTACACTTTTAAGGGAAAGTTATCTTCCCTGGAAGTGATAAGGGTCTTTGAAAGAATCACTCCAACACTTCATGGGAATGAACACAAAAGACTTTATCACACACCAACTAAACCCAATTTCACCTCCTTTCACACATGCTCTTCTGTGCTTCCCATAATTTATTGACCTATTTATTGACTGTCTGCCTGTGTAATATAATGTAGAATACAGAATGGTTTATTTTTGTGCTTGTGTGTAATCCCACTTAGATAAAACCTTGTACCGATCCTATCTGACATGGAATCTTTGTGGGGTTGTGTGGCTCAGAGAATGAGGTTGCTGAACTTTTCTTCCACCCCTAGATATCTGTAAATGCCATGTGCCTCAGGCACCTCTTTGCTTGCAGAGCTGTTCCCTCAGTGCAGAGGTTTCAGCAGCTTTCTGCAGCACACGAGGTCCTGTCTGATGTATCACTCCTCTTGCAGGGCTATCGTGGCTTGAAGTGCTCAGCTCTGTAGTTTATTGTCGAGCTGTGCAGTCTCCACTCTTGCTGTGTGTTCCCAGATAATGGGATGCACCATGGGCTGTTATATGGCTTGATTCCTCACCCTGAGTGAGTGACACTGCTCTCCCTGAGCCCCTGCAGGCTGTGCTCACTGGCACGTTGGAGGAATTCGTGGGAGGTGTGAGGTTTGCTTTGCTGACATGAGCTCTGGCAGCCAACGGCTGAAGTGTGACCGCGCAGAGCCTTTCGAAACCATCCACCATTCTTCTGAAGCCATTTGCCAAGACAAGCCACTCACCTTGTTAGGAGTGATAATCCAGCATTAGGGAGATAATCCGACATTTGCTTTTATCAGCTCTTTTCTGCGACTGGGCCCGTGGCAGTGATCTGCCTGGGGAGCTTTTGGCACCACTGGCCTTCCCCACCAGGACCAACATCTCTGCACAGCCTGGGGGAGGGTCTGTGCCTTAAAAAATAACATGGAACTGCTGTAATTGCCCATGGTCACTCTAAACCCTCAAGCAGCAAAGCAGAGCAGCTGCCTTCACTCATTGGCAGCAGTTGGCTGGAACAGGGTGTGAAGTGCTCTAAGGTCCAAAGCAAACATGGGCAGCATGTCCTCAGTCAGTGAACCTGCATGTGGGGACTCTTCCAAGGTCAGTAAAAGTACCAATTTTAGTTTTTTAGCATTAGGGACCAGCCAGTCTGCTGACATTGGTGGCTTTTCTTTATAGAGAAACGAGGGCTGTGCTGCTGGTTGAGGAGGATTCAGCCAGAGGTTGTGCTGTAAAGCAGCAAAGCATGAGCTGTGTCCCACTCTGCTGCTTTGGGAGCAAACTGAGCATCTCTTGAACCCTTCAGCTGCACCTGAGCTGTTCATACCCTGAGTTTAGAGCTACTGGCAATGGTATTCCATGTCTGGTGTGTGTCAGGATTGCAGGTCTGCATTATGAGCAAACCACACCTTACTCTCCCCTTACCTTGGCACAGAAATGTGCAAAGAGATTTGCTGGGTATTCAGACAGGTCAGGCAAAATAGCACCCAGAAACAGAGCAGTTATTTTATACAGAGCTTTACCCAAGTAGCAGGGATAAGGATCAACCTCCTCCAAAGCAGCAGCCAGAACCCATTTGCTACCTCCCTTCTCAAGCTCCATCTCAAGCTCCATCTCAAGCACTGCCCTTTTCAGGCAGCTCAGAGAGCAAAGCAGAACCTCCAGCAGTGTAGAAACAGCAAAGGATCCTCCAGATTTTGGCAGCCCTGGGCAGTTTGGTGCCTACAGCAAGATGGGAGAGCTGCAGTTAAGTATTTGCTGTGAAACACACTGAGCCAACCCCTGTAAAATCTATTCATTTTGAAGGGAGAAAAAAAAAAAACAAAACCCAAAACAGGAAGATTTCCTGGCACTTGAACATCTGCTCCAAGTGTTTGAAGAACTACAGCCCAGTGTTAATTTAAACTTCCTTATAACCCAGTTCAACATTTGGAGTGCAAACACAGTTAATAGGCTGGGAACTGGGGTGGTGCTGCTTTGCTTGCTATATTGGGAAACAAAACCAGAACAAAACCAGCCTGAGATAGAGTTTTTGTTTATGTTGCTGACCCATCTGTCTTCATTAATGCACTATTTACAGGAACAGTTAAAAAATCAGCTCCTGCTCCTTCTTCAGTTGCAACAGCAACAAGTAAAGGCTGAACCGTTCGCTTGCCCTCGACTAAAAATGGAAATCCTTATCAGCACCCCTGGAAGGAGAGGTTTATTATATGGAGAGATTAATGCTGAATATTGGGGCTGGGAGCAGGCACTTGGCCAGAGCTGAGTCTCTAGCACAGGCAGTGTCAGGAGTGAGAGCCACCAGGGAGGTGTCTCTGTCACACAAAGCAGCCACAAAACGGGACCCATGTCTTACCCTAAGCTCCTGCTTTGAGTTTAGGAGGGGAAATAATGTGGAATTTTTTTTTCCCTGTATTGACCCAAAAGAGTTGGTTTGTCACAGGTTGTTATGGGGTTGGTTTGGCTGTACAGATCTGGTCACATATTTACTTGGCACAGCTGCAACCCAAATGGGACCTGAGGTCATGGCCCTGCAATCCTGGATGAAAACAGACAAACCTACTGCTGTGCAAGTGACTTAGAATCACAGAATTCCAGAATGGTTTGGGTGGGAAAGACCTTAAATCCCATCCAGTCCCAGCCCTGCCCTGGGCAGGGACACCTTCCACTAGCCCAGGTGGCTCCACGCCCTGTCCACCCTCGCAGGGAATATTTCCAGGGATGGAGCAGCCACAGCTGCTCTGGGCAACCTCAGCACCCTCAGAGGGAAGGATTTATCCCTAATATCTATGAAGATATTAGGAAGGTTAGGAGGATGTCCTGACTTCTTCAAAAGCAGCTTAGTAAGAAGTCAAAGCTAAGTATTGCACTACAAGCCACGGAAATAGAGACATCCATCCAAAAATCAACCCCAAACTTTCTCTCTCTAAGCCATGAAGGGCAGGAAAGTTTATCAGAGTCATCATCCCATTTGCAGATCCCACTAGAGGGTCAGGAATTGGAATGTCCTTAGAAGCCCAGCTACATTTTGGGAACAAATCTGGCTGCTAGGCATCTTGTCTTACTCTCCTTCATCCCTTCTCCCTGCCGTGCTCTCCTCCAGCCCCTGTCACTCTCCACCTCAGGCAGGACACATTGTCCACCCATGGTCCCAGGGCAGCAGGACCCTGTGAATCCCTCTGAGGCAGGAGCAGCTTGCTGGGGAAATGCAGAGCTGTGGAAGGAGCAGGAATTGGAATTACAGCTCCTTTCCCCAGATCAAAATGGGGAGAAACATCCACCCCTTGATACCCTTGTCAAGAAGATGAATAGTGCGAAGGGTCCAGTTCTCCCTACTGAGGTCTTGGTAACATCTCCTGCAGCCACTGAGGGTGTTTGCTGTCAGATGCAAACTAGTCAATCCCAGCTCACTCTCCTGCCTCTCAGGGAGTCACTTCAGATGTCAGTAAGAGCAGAATTTGAGCTGGTGATTAGCTGAGAAAGTTTCTGCTTCCGACCCCATCCCACCGCGCAGCATTCCCAGCAAAACTCTTTGGCTGCATTCTTCCAGAAGGCTGAGTGATTTTTTTTTTTTAAAGAAAATAATGCCAGAAAGCATAGGAGAGTTTTGCTAACATATATACTGCAATGTACACAATACATACTGCAAAAGTTTCTCAGGTCGAATGAGCTCCTGTTGGGAAAAGGAACTTCCCTTGGGTTATGCTGTTGGTACATGCCCAACATGATTCTGTTCACCACCCAAATTGTTTCACCTCCTGCTCAGCATTTCGAGGGCTGAGCAGGACCTTTGACTGCATCTTTAAAGCCAACAAAGGAAATAAGAGGGATAAAACAATCAGCACAGCTGCA